CGGTGAGTTACATCCCTACAAGCCCTGATTCTTGAGCCAGAGTGCCTGGGTTTGAATCCCAGTTCTGCCACTTGGTGTGAACTTGGGAAGTTGCCTAACTTCTCAGTGCCTTGAATGTCATCATCTGTAAGATGGGAAATTAAAAGAGCTTCTATCCTTAGGCACTGTTTGGAAGAATAAATGAATTAATATTCATAAAATGCCTGGCATGCCCTAAGTTCTTTATATATTCATGATTATATATAATAGCCACAGCACCTAAGATTGATGACTTGAAAGCAAGACATCAATAATTATTTCATAAATGAATAAATGAGATACCAAAAGGCTCTGACTTATGGTAGAGATTTATTATATCACATTAATAGGTTTTCTTGTTTAGTGGGTAATTTCATCACTTGAACCATGTCACATACTATACTAATTTTTTCAAAAGCTGTTAAAGTCATTTCTTGGTATTTAACCGTCTCCCCAGATTATCTTTAACAATGACTGAAACACTGAACCTCTAGGTACTGATGGACTTTCCCTTGCAACTTCCTTGCACCACTATGGCTTCTTCATACCTCCACATGACAACGTACTTCTTCATACCTCCACATGACAACGTACAATACAATGCTGTGCATGCACAAGTTGAGAGCCCACTGTGTGAATGATATAATTGAAGGTCTGATTCTGTCTCAATTACAAGGATCACTCACTGTAGGTGACATTAAAAAAATAAGAAGCTCTTGTGAATCAATGAAATTTCTAAGCAACCAACAAAGAAATGCTAGTTTAAACAAGGATTCGATTTTGCACAAAATTTCCATATTAAGCACCCATTCATTCGATTTTTTTTGTAGCTATTTTGTGTTTTGGTTTGATTTTTTGTTGTTGTTTTTTGTTTTGAGACAGCGTCTCACTATGCAGTTCAAATTGGACTTGAGCTCACTTTGTAGTCCAGGTTGGTCTTGAACTTGTAATGATCCTCCTGCCTCTGCCTCCCAAGTGCTGCAATTACAGGCATGTGTCACCACGCATGGCAACTTATTCAAACTAAGCACAATTTTCAGTCATGGGAACCTTTTTTTTTTTTTTGGTATTTTTGAGATAGGGTCTCGCTATGCAGTTCAGGCTGGTCATGTGCTCACTTCGTAGCCCAGGCTAGTCTCAAACTTGCAATGATCCTTCTGCCTCACCCTCACGAGTGCTAGGATTACAGGTGTGTGCCATCACTCCTGGCTTACAGTCATGGGAACCTTTAACATACTATGCTACCATGGGTGTGCAACCCAAAATGATGACTTAATCAAATGGAGTTAGAGGGGCTGGGGATTTAGCTCAGCGGTATAAGCAAGTGTGCAAGTGTATGGTCATGAGTTTGAACCCCAGTACGATAAAAAAAATAAAAAATAAATTTTAAAAATGGAGTTATTAGAGTACAGCTAGCTACTGTAACCATTTATCTTTTTCAACTGGTTTTAAATGCAGAATCCTTCCTGCTAGGCAGGTAATTTAAAGAAAACTCCTGTACTTCCTATGCTCCACAACTACTTATCTTAGAACCAAACAAAGCAGTTGGATGACACTGATCATCCTTCCCAAGAGGTAGCACAATCTACAGCAAAGAGCTTTGAAGGAGAACGACCCTGGCTCCAAGGCAAGCTCCACCACTTGTTAAACAAGTATGCTATGGCAAGTCTGTCAATCTTCCCTCTGGTAATAATTGCAATAATGTAAACTAGTACAATCTGATGTGGTTAACTAATGCTGAAAGGCTAAGAAAAAGCAACAAATAAAAAGAAGATCAGAAATATTTAAGAAATGGGGGCTGGGGATTTAGCGCAGCGGCATAAGCACTTGCCTTGCAAGTGTGTGGTTGTGAGTTCGATCCCCAGTACCGATAAAAAAAGAAAAAAAGAAATGTTTAAGAAATGGTAAGTTTTTATCATGTTAGGTCATTTTCAAATCTTAATACTACTGACATTTTAAGAACATATTTTAAAAGGCTCAACTTTGAGCAAAATGACTGACAGAGACAGTACACAAGAGGCTACTCAGGAGGCTGAGGCACATGATTGCAAGTTTGAAGCCAGTCTGGGCAACTAAATAACAACCTATCTCAAAATAAAAATAATAAGGGCTGAAGATGTAGCACAATGGTAGAACATTTGCCTAGCACATGTGTGGCACAGGATTCAATCTCCGGTATCACAAAAACCAACAAAAACAGTTAAAATGTAAGTCAGGCTGGGCCTGTTGCCACGTAAATCCTAAACCCTCAGGAAGTTGTGCCAGGACTACTGTGAATCTGAGGGCAGCCTGGGCTACATAGTGAGTTCGAGGCCAGCCTGACATAAATGGTGAGATTTTGTCTCAAAAAACAAAACAAAAAAAGTAAGCCAGTAAAAAATGAGAAAGAATTTTTAGATTAAAAACAGAGTCCTGGTCCCATGAAAATTATTCTCCTCCTCTAAGACACAAACCAGGCAATGGCTTCCTGGCTATTATGTCAAAAAACAAACTTTTGACCCCAGAACAACTACCTACAAACCACCACTGTCAGTGACACCAAATAAACGTGATTAGGCAATCCTACTGACTGTATACCCGCTGTAGCCACCTGCCGTGAACCTACTAATTAAAAGGTTCAAAAACCTTGACCTAAAACTTCAAGAAAAAGTTTACCTGGAAGTCAGGAAGTCAACAACTCCAGTAATTTTTTGGTACTGAAGATTTGAACTCAAGACCTCACTCGTGGGTTTGTTTGGTTTTTTGGTTTTGACACAGTGTCACTAAATCGCAATGGGTTGCCTTAAACTTACATCCTCCTGCACCAGTTTCCTAACTAGCTGCTAGTACAGGTGTATGTCACACCTGGTTAACAATTACTCTAATGCTGACCGCAACTTAAATGAAACCTAAATACAAGGGTGCTTCGCAGCTCAGTGGATAACAAAGATCCTGTTCTAAGTACAATGAGGGGACAACTGTGTCTGACTTCTTCATCTGCACATCGTCCAAGGCAACACAGTGTACAGTGGCTATTCAAACTTCATTCAAAGATTTTTACACTCATAGTAGCAATATTCAGAACAGCCAAAAGGTGGAAACAACTCATATATCCACTGATGGGTGAATGGACAAAACAAAACATGGCATATACATACAGTGAAATTCAGGCTTAAAAAAGGAATTCTGGCACACCTTACAACATGGAGGAACCCTAAAAGTGAAATAAAGCCAGTCACAAAAAATCAAACACTGATGCCACATGAGATACCTTAAGTAGTCAGATTCATTGACATGAATCATAAAACAGTGATCACCAGAGTGGAGGTACTACTGAAAGAGGGGGAAAGGAGCTAATGCTGAAGGGCAGAGTTTCAGTTTGCGAAGATAAACATCTTCAGGAGATGGGATGGCCATGAGAATCACACAAAAACACGAAGGCGCATAATGACAACGAACTGCACAGTTAAAAACGATTAAAATGTTAGACTCTGTATATTTTACAATTTAAAAACCAAAAAGAATTTTAAACCATATTTAAAGAACAAAGCCCTGATAGAAGTGTTTTGAAATTTTTTTTTCTTTTTTCTTTTTTTTGTCTTTTTCCTTTTTATCGGTACCGGGGATCAAACTTTCGACTGCCTGCTTACAGTGCAGGCGCTTATGCCGCTGAGCTAAATCCCCAGCCCCAGTGTTTTGAAATTTTGTTGCAGTTTTGTCTTTTTCTTTTTATCCTTGAAATAAAATGAATTTTTTAAAAAAAATAGAGTACTTCCATCAGTCAGTAAACATTACATGTAGCTCATACCTTTGGCTTCTTCACAGAATTTCCATCTCCAGGCTGATGAGAAATGGGAAACTCAAAGAGCTTAACTGCTCTGCCACCCTACAGTCTAGGAATATATACAGTAAATCTGCACACTACATACAACATACAGAGTACAGATTATGCCACGCTATTCAGTATTAGTGGTGTATGTTATCCAGCTGGCAGAACAAGGTCAATGTCTTACATCCTCTTTCTATACCAGACTTAACACAGTCACAACACTCAAAAAGTTTTGAAAATTCCACTGGACTAAATGTGTCACAGAGGCTGTGACAGCAACTCTTTCTCTATCAGTAAGCTGGCAGACATAAAAGTGGGTGCCTTGAGGAAAACAATGCAGTCCTGGGGGTGTTCAAACACAGGCCGGGCCACCGAGGACTCACTGTAGGATTCTCCTTATGTGCCAAGAGCCGGGGCAGACACAGATGCACTTTCACCTCAGTCCACTGCAATAGCCAGATTCAGCACGGGAACAACTACCAAAGCAAAGACAAAGGTTCTACCAACAGATGTGAGTACATAAAAAAACTAAGGGAGTCCGGAGTACCTATGCGCCCGGAAAATGAAGGAGGTATCTTTAGAAAAGGCTTCTAAGCTGAAAGGATGAATAGTTTTTCTGGCACTGCCACGGAAAAGACCAGCATATAACAGAAAAAATAACAGCCTGAGCACCCAAGGGATCCCATGCAGACTCAACTGCCATCGACAACTGCCAAGCAACATCTACACCGCCCACTCTCAATTTCTCCAGACATAAAATCTACAAGTTTGGGCGAGATGCCTTCCAAGAATCTGGTCACTAGGCCCTCTCGTGTCACAGTGCTCTGTACCTCAGTCTCCCACTTCCTTTCAGAGGATTAACACACGTTCATCACTTAGCACACAGCCTGCCACATAGTAAGCCCTCAGTAAATAAATGTGAGTTATTCTCAAGACAAGACCAGGGAAGCTAGCACCAGATGCAAGGGTTGTGCCTGCTGGTTTCCAGGCCCGAGACATCCCTGGGGGAGGGGAGCATACAGCGGGCGCACACCCTGCACGCATGTGCCACTGGCCAGGCTTGGCACGCGCCTCCCCCAGCCCTGGGGAGAAGCGATGGCTCAGCAGCCCCGCGGCCCACTCGCGGCCGCCCAGCAAGGCCCAGGGTGAAGGAAAGGGCTACGACCCCACTTACCATGCTGGCCGGGGAGGGGCGGCTCAGGTGAGCAGGATCTTGGGCTTCGGACACGGCGGGCTCGAACAGTTCAGGTCATGGTCCCAACAGGCTCGGGAAGTTCCCCGCCCATGCAAAGACGACTCCTTCCACACTCTGGACCCACGGGGACCCCTAAAAAGGGAACGGCCTCCCGGTCCGCCTCATCAGGGTCCCCAGGGACAACACATCCACAACCCCCTTCCCCTGCCCAAGGAAACTGAAAAAGCAGGAAATGGGGCTCGAAGGCCGGCGAGGCAGCTGCTCGGGACCCCCGCCCAGGCCCGACCCCCGAAAGGGAGGCGACGGGCCCAGGCAGGGGCTCCCCGGCCTCTGCGAGCCGCCCTGCGGCGGCGAGCCGGCCCGAGGCTCAGCGGGTGGAGGCTGGAGGGGCCTCGGAGGCGCGGCACGGCCCGGGTGACTGGCTCAGCTCAGAGGCCCGCGGACTCGCGCTGTCCTCACCGCCTCAGCCCTCTCGCCTGCCACCGCCCCAACTAGAGCATCCCTGCGCGCGCCCCTAGACCGCCCCGGAGCCGCCCGCTGTAGACGCGCGGAAGCCCCCAGCCAACAGTTCTAACGCGCCGGAAGTGGCGAGTGCCGGGCAGCACCCAGAGCGGCCGCCGGGCTCCGGCGCTGGAACCGGACCAATCCGGAATCGAGGGGGGGGCGGGAGCCGGGCAAGGGGCGGGGCCACAGCTGACGGCTCCCGCAGGCCGGGCGGCCCCCTAGGCCCCGCCCCCGGGCCAAGAGGCTTTGCGTCAGCGCGCGGCCATGTTGGTAAAGGGAATGGGGGCTGCCATGTTAGTAAAGTTAAGGTTTTTCTTTCGCTTCCTTCATTCATTCCTCAAATCTTTATCGTGTGGCTTTGAATTGACGCGCTATCGAACGGGAGTTTGATGGCTCAGAAATTATGCTCTCAAGGAGCTTATATTCATCCCATTCAACAAAAACTTTAGCTCTGCATTAGCCAGAAGTTGCTGTGGGTTCTAGGACTAGAAAATGCCAGGAACAAAGTGTGAACAATTTAGAGATCGGATTTTAATTGGCTTCATTTCAATTCCGGAGTCGGGCGGTACTTGAGCCATAAAATAGGTGCTCCAAATAGCAACCATTACTTTTAGAGATCAAAAGGGGGCTAAAGAAAGCAAAAATTCCTTCAAAGTTACTTTTCTTGTAAGGAGAAACAGGACAATAGAAAAAAATAACTGATAAACATTAGGTTACTTTTTTTAATCGCGCCCATTGAAACTGGCCTGTTTGAGAAATTTGGTTGTTGCCTTTCTAATCCTGATGATTCATAAAGTCAGATAAACAGTTCAAGCTTGATGGAGTGGAACTTTACCATGAGTGACTCCATTTTTATTTTTAGCCGGATTTGTTAGTGCAGGAGCCTAGTATAAAACAGTGGCCTCGTGTGTTTTTAATTTAACAAGAGGTACCCCTTACCCTGGGGAAGCAGATAAATGGCCATCGAACAAATGAATAAATTGTAGAAAGAAAAGATATGGCCAGAACAATCAGGGGTTTAGACAATGGAGAAGAGAGATGGACATGTTACCAGAGGACAAAGCCAAAGAAAGGAACAGCAACCACAAAGGCTCAAAGAGGATAAAGAACATAGTAGACTGTTCAGGTTCTCCATCTGTTTTATTATGGAAGTGTTGATTTTAAGAAATAGTGCCAGACTATTTGCGTTTTCTGAATATTGTTATTTTGACCTATCATGTCTTAGTTTTTATTTTGTTACTGTTTTACGCAGGGACTTGCCCTATATCATAAACTGACCTCCTCCTCCTCCTTTTTTTCTTTTGGTTTTTGTCTTTTGGGGAGATGTTTTTGTTTTGAGACAGGGTCTCACTAAGTAGTTCAGCTGGCCTTGAACTTGTAGCAATCCTCCTGCCTCCCAGTGCTGGGATTATAGGTTTGTGCCACCTCATGGGCTGGTTTTGGGTTGTTCTGAGACATAGTTTCATTATGCATTTCAGGCTGGCCTTGGACTGGCTATGTAGCCCAGGCTGGCCTCGAACTTCCAGCCATCCTCCTACTTCAGCCTCTCACGTGATGGGATTATAGGCATGTGCCACTGTGCCTGGCTGTTTGAGGGAAGAGGAGAAAGGAAGGTAAAGAATTAAGATGTGTTAGGTACATGAACCAACTCCCCATGATGCATGTAATCATTTTTGACTGCAAACATGTACCAATACAAAATTTAAAAATAAAAAAAATATTGAGTAAGTTTCTTAAGAGGACATACAGTGCAGGGAAAAGCAATCCAGCAGACGGAATCATTGAAGAAGCAAAAGTATGAGAAGACAAAGCCATCAGAGGCCCAACATCTTCCTTTTTCTCCAGCCCAGAGCAGACCCCAAGACCCTGGAGTGTTCCCTTCATCTTTGGAATATGCTAGGAATTCATTGATAACAAGAAACTGTGAAGGACCCTGTGAATAGCCAGGTCAGCTCCTTCCTTTTCTGAAGAATGCCCATTCTGGAACTGGATCTGCCTGAACTGGAAGGCCTAGATCTGTCTAGTACACCCACCTACAGGACCAAGGACAGTAGCACTGGCAGAAAGACGAGTCAGGAAACTAGAGCAGAGCAGGAGAAAAACCCTGAAGGTAACATCCTTAAGTACAGTACCTTCAACTTCTGGAGCACTCCATTGCCGGCATCCACTCATTTAAACTGAACTTACTCTAAGGCCAAGACTTCTCTTTCTCACCACTTTGCCCTCATTATCTTTCTGTCCCTTACCATTTTAATCTTATTATCTTCCCACTGTTGTGGTGGTGGTGCTGATGAGTCTGCCCGCTGTTTTATTTATTTGTGTATGTATTCTCTTTATAGACTCCATTCCTCTCAGAAGCCCTCAAACCATTAAGTAGGGGCTCAAGCAAAGGAATCACGGGAGCTCCATCACACTCCCACCCTGCGATTATCAACTTCAGAAAGTAGTGCTCATAGCCAGTCGTGATGGCTCACCCCTGTAATCCCAGCACTCGGGAGGCTGAGGCAGGAGGATTGTTGTGAGTTCTGAGACCAGTCTGGGCTGCAAAGTGAGCTCAAGGCCAGCCTGAACACATAAAGAGACCCTGTCTCAAAAAGACAAGAAAAAAAGAAAGAAAGAAAGTAGTCCTTATGAGGGCACTAAGGAGTAGTAAATAGTGCAAAATGGAAGGCTGGTTTTTTTTATTCCATTTTAATCGGCTTCAAAGACTGCCCAAACCTTCCAAATTTTTCTAGTAAATATAAGTATTTTTAAAGGGTTAACAAAAACCTTGCAAGTTTTAATTTGATACGACGTGCTACAAAACAAGATTTCTAAAAGGCTAAGACAGTAAGGCTCTTGCTTTTTCAATCCTGCTTCTTGCAATACATGATTTTCCCTCCAGGGAAACTGGAGTACTTAAAGGTATAAAGCAAGAGAAAACAATACCTCATGAAAAATGAAAATAGGGGAAAATACGAAATCATTTCAGAAATAGCTAAGGTTTTTCTTGGTCAGAAAAGTATACCTTTAGCCTATTCACTTTACAGCTTTGCTCCTAACTGGGTTGAAACCTTGCAGAGAAAAATCAAATTTCAAATCTTAATAAATCTTGCTGACTGCTGGGATAATTTGCAAAGTTTTGATTAAGTTTTCTAAAGGGGAGAGTGATTGGTCCTTAGTATTTTAGTCTTGCCGTGCTGCATTTGAACATAATACCAATCAGTGGACCTGAACCACCCACCCAGTTCTTCAGTTACTTTAAGACCATGAAATGAACAATTGCCATTTAACCTACACCTTGTCCCTACTTCTTACCAAAATTATTGCTGATTTCTGTTGCCATTTGCTTGTTTATTTAATAAAAACACTCATTCCCTCCAAAAATATTAAGAATATGTGGTGTTACAGCGGCAGTATATCAAATCTGAGGTTTTTTTCATGATGTTCTCTTGCATGCCAGTAATTTTGCCAACTTTGTTTTAGAGGACTAAAGAGCCATTTTTGTTAAAATTTGCTTATTCTTCTGTTTGTAAGTACCAACCAAAGGCTTTGTTAACTCCAGGCACACAGCAGTGGCATAAATAAATGACCCTCTGCTGTTTCTCATTTTCCTCACTTGTAAAAGCAGATAATAAATTGTTTGCAGTGTTACATACCTGTAATCCTAACAGTCTGGGAAGCTGAGGCAGGAGGTTTGGGAGTTGAAGCCCAGCCTGGACAATTTAGCAAGACATTGTCGCAAAATTTTAAAAAGGGGGCCCTGGGTATGATGTCACTCATCTGTAATCCTAGCATTCAGGAAGCTTGAGGATCACCTTAAGTTCAAGGCCAACTTAAACTAGATAGTAAGACCTTGTCTCCAAATTTAAAAAAAGAATTTAAAGGACGGGGATATTGCTCAATGTGAAGGTCCTGGGTATAATCCCCAGTTACAATCAATGCATGAATAAATAGGAAATAATGTCAGAAAGCAATCCCAAGCAATTGAGGTTGAGCCCAAGGATTACCTGTGCATATAGACTGGAGCAACCCAGTGATGCTCAAACTTGTGTGAATAAAAAATCACCTGGAGGGCATGTTTAACTCGGATTGCTCAGTCCCACTTGCAGTGGTTCTCATTCAGTAAAGAAACTGGGATGGGACCTAATTGCATTTCTAGCAAGTGATGCTCAAGAGCAGGACCATAGACCACATCTGAAAAATGACTGATATAACTCAGGTCAAGACAAAATTACAACAGATTAGTTTAAAGATGGGTTTCATTTGAGTTTCTAGACTCAGACAACATCTTATACCATAAAATAGAAGTGTTCAACGAAGTGAGATCAGAAAAGAATTAAGGAAAGCAAAATGAGAAAACAAAAAGCAGATCGATCATTTCTTATAAAGTTTAAAACAAGGTCGCTTACTTAACATGCCAACAAAAGCTTCCCTATAGGAGAATTTGGCTATCCCTTGCTCTCCTGGTATCTCAGAAAATTAGGTAAATAACTTAGTTTCCCCTTGGCGACTTGGAACTTCAGCATAAGTGACTCCATTTTGGTTTGGTATAAGGCTTAGAGCAGAAGCTCAGTCCAACCCAGTGGCTTCCTGAAAATTTTATTCAATACTCAATACCACAGAAAACCACAGTTTATTATTTTTCAAATGCTTATCGTTGCCTACTATGTAACAACCACTGCTCCAAAGATTCATTTCTGAGCAAAACAGCTGTTGTGCTTTTATGGCATTTTTGGGGGATTGGGTTGGGTTGGGTTTTGAGACCGGCACTTGCTGTGTAGTCCAGGCTAGCTCCAAACTCAAAGCAGTCCTGGCTCAGTCTCCCAAGTGCCGGGATTACAGGCATGTGCCACCATACCTGGATGAGACAAGTTATTTTTTTAAATGTTAAGCAATGATTAATCACTTAGAATTGTGATAACAGTAATGAGAGAAAAATACAGACCATGAGATAACCTATACATATTATGTTAACTAAGCAGTGTTAGCTAATCTGGGGAGTTGAGCTGAGGGGGAGTGAGCTATAACCTGAAAGCAATTAGTTTGCCAGACAAACAGAGGAGAAATCCTAGGCAGTAAACTAGACTACAGGAGAGAGAAGCTGTCTCAGTGTGCACACCTGTAATCCCAGCACTCCAGTAGGCTGAGGCAGGAAGATCACAAGTTCAAATGCAGTCTGTATAACTTAGTGACTTAGCAAAAACCTTGTCTCAAAAAATGCACTTAGTGGATGTCGGCTCCAAAACAGAACAAGAGGCCATCTTAGTAGGTAAGCACAAGAATCAGAATTGAAATCAAATCACCTGTCCTCACTTTACAAGCTTTAATTTTGTGACTTGAACAATTATTTCTAAGATGACAATATGTAATCCATTAACTAGTGATTTCCTACTGTTCATTTTTTTTCTGTAAATCTGTATAACTTGTACCCTTTCCCTGCTTTTTTTTTCTTTTCTCCTTAAATAAAATTTAAAAAAAAAATTTAAAAAAAAAAAATCACCTGTCCTTTCTTGGCTGAATTTTAGTGGAACAAGTAAAAACTTTAGTATGGGATGCATTTGGAGTGGAACTCAGTAGTTTGTAGCTTGAGTAAGTCTTGGTTTCTTCATGAGGTTCTTGAATGAGATAGAAAAAAGTGGTCTCAGGCTTATGTGAAGATACCCTTTTAGCTCTTGGCACTCCTGTAACTGTGCTTTCAGAGATAGAGCAGCTTCAGACCAGGTGTAGCAGGAGCCCTGGATCCGTTCTTCTAAGATTTCTTGGTTCTAATCATCTCCGTATATCAGGCTTGTTCTCAGGGTGGCTGCCAGTAATGGCAGGGCCACAGATGTCCCCTCTACCTCCAGCAGGAGAGAGCCCCTTTTCCTACACTTTCTCACAGCAGCCAGGTCTATCATACCAATGATCTTAACTGGCCATTATAAGTGTATTCATCCCACCCTCACCAGGGTGAAGGAGGATGGAACTCCCACTGTTGGCTTAGAGAACCCTCCCTTACTCTTCAGTTTCTCAGCATAAACTGGATACTGTGGGATCTCACGTATCCACTGTTCCACCACTGCCAAACTAAGCCAAAGATGTCGTTTAGTGTACATTAAACTTTCACATAAGACAGACAGTAAATGACAGCTATTACTAATTTTTACAACAGAGATTTTTCCAAGTCAACTAAATAACATTAATGTTAAATCTCACCAGGGATGATTATCTGAAGTTTGAGGTCAGCCTGAGCTACATAGCAAGACCCTGTGTCAAAAAAAAACCAAAATGTATATCAATCGCAAGCCTGTCTTGTTTCAAAAAATATTTAAGGTTGCTGTTACTCTTTTGTTGGCCTTGCAGGAATAACCCCCATCCATTCTCTCCTGCCCATTCCTATTGCTACTGCCCTGGTCTCATTCAGTTATTCAGTCAGCAAATATTGGGTGAGTTGGTATCAATTTCATGCAAGGCCTTTTTCTAAAAAACAAGAATTCTAAAACGAGTAAGACCGAGACAAATTGTTCACTATCTGGGATCAGCAACAGCTCTCAAATGATTATAGGTGATAGAGATATAGATAGATAGGTGCTGTGATAGAGATGTGCACTAACTTTCTAAAGGGCAAGGAAGTGGCTATTGTGTGTGAGAGGAGTTAAGTCTGATTACTTGAGAAATAATGGCACAAGGAAATCCTGGATGGCCAAGGGGAAAGACCGTGGGAAGAAAGAGCCCTGTCTGCCCAGCCTCTGCCTGTTTCTCCATTTCCAGCCAAGGGCCAAGACTTGAGTGCAAAAGCTATTTTGGACAGTTGAACTCAGTCAAGACTTCCAAAGACCTCAGGCCTAGCTTCTCTCTGACTGCAACTATGGGAGTTCCCATAAACGGGAACCATTCAGCAAAACCATATTAATCTTTACAACTTGGAGAAATAATAATAAATATTGTTAACTCATTAAAGTTTGAAGTTATTTGTGGTTTGGATACATGTCTTCCAAATGCCATGGGTTACAGATTTGATCCCCAGCTTGGAACTATTGGGAAGTGGTGGACACTTTAAGACAGGCCTAGTGGGTGGTCTTTGTCATTGTGGGCGTCTCCTTGAAAGGTACTGTGGGCCCCAGCCCCTTCTTTCTCCCATACTGTGCACTCCCCACCATTGCCGTCTGGCACTGGAGGCCTAAAAGTAATGGATCTGCCTGATGATGGACTGGGACCTCTAAGACTAATCAACATTTTTCTCTTTATAAGTAGAATATCTCAGCTATTTGTTATAATGACAGAAAGCTGACTTAACACTTGTCATGCAACAATACATACCCCCAACACCCCTCACCACAAGGAGAAACAGCCACAAAAGAAATAAAGACCTGCCATTTAAGGGAAATAAGGAGTCCTCACAGTTCACTTCTTGTAGGACAGTAAAAATTCAGTTGTCCATAAGCCAACTCAGCCAGTGGGCAACCACCTTACACTGACTGTGCCCTTCACAGACAGGAGACCTGCGGATCTTGTTCCTGGAGACCACTGCCCGACCCACCCTGAGACAAACCCCCATCTCCCAAGAGCTGCACTGGGCCACCCCCAGTCTCACCTCCTGAGGCCCTGCCTCTTGAACCCAACTCCCCACCTTCACTTGTAGCTAGTTGCTGGAATCTGGGTTTTGTTGGCATAAAAAACTTTGGAAGAGAGAGCTCCAGAGATGCAGCCATGGAGGGACTCAGGCAGCTTATTCAGCCACCCTCTTGGTAAGCACCTGCAGCATGGGCCTGGAGAAGAACCATT